TTTTTAAAAACAAGTTCATTCCTTACATTCCAAATGGTCAATAAAATTGCCAAGTATTTAACTGGTTAATAATGCACAAAGCACAGGGTACAAATAAAGTTGCAAAAATAGATGTGCTAGATACACATAATTAAAATATTAGAACACAACTCAACTATAAAATTATCTTTTATCTCGATTTTATGATCTATTATGTAATTTAATTTCGTGCAATTAAATCTTCTCATTGCAAAATAGTATGATCTAGCACCAACTTTATTACAAACACAAAAAAATTACAGAAAAATTAAATGTGGGGGCACATCATTGGAACTTGAAGTAGGCTTTGCAGGGGGGTTGTCTATACAACTATAATAGTCAATAGTTTGGCCAAGAAAAGTTTTATACGTACTTCTAACTCTCTAGTTAAACACATTGTTAATTATATAAGCTCTATCTCCCACATGAAAAGTACGTTAGTTTGTCTTATAAAAAAGGATTAAAGACTTGGTGACAATTACTCCTCTATTTAAGGAATAATCAATGCTTTCTAAAAAAGACAGTCGCAAAGCCAATGATTCCTCTATTTAAGGAATCATCTACATCATTTGTTTTCAGTTGCAGCCTTGTGCCCTATTAATTAGTAGACCTTGTCATGACCCACCAGTATGTTTGTAATATAATTATTAGTGTTAAAAATAAATAAAAAAATCATTAATTACTAAAAAGTCCTGTATACATATTTGATGGTTAGGTCCTGTCAAAAAGTTTTTGAACCAATAAGTCCCATTTATAGGTAAAAAGACGTTTTGCCCTTTAATTCCAAAACTGAGAATGTTCTCAATTTCAAAATAGATAATGATTTCAGTATATAATTATCAAAACTAAGAAATTTCTCAATTTTTTTCCTAGTATAAACTGAGAATATTATCAGTTTTGAGAAATCTCTCAATTTTTTTGGTGCTTTTGGTGCGATGCTTCTAGCATTAATTGAGAATATTATCAGTTTTGAGAAATTTCTCAATTTCTTTCATGATTAAAATTGAGAATATTATCAATCTACTCTCACTCTTGCATTTACGTTCTCCTCCTCCTTTTACACTTTCCAGATCTGGAAATCTCCTAATCTAGTTCTAGATCTGGTTCGAGATGTCGAGCTTCATAGCAACTTCGTCTATCACTAATGGCTATTGAACACGACTAACTCGACGGTGGTAACGAAACAGATCAACGGAGATGGGGAGAGGTAGATCTGTTCAGAGGTAGACCAACAACCTCAACCTCACGCGTAAGCGGCGGAGGACGCAGCCATCATCGAATCGTTCGAGACCTGTACTTCGTTGCATTGAAGAATTGATCTCGAGAGCCCCTTATTCGACCCTTGCTGCTGCTGCTGCTGCTGCAACGTGGTCGTCGAATCGAAGTTGGTGTGTAAATTGAGGAAATTACCGTCACCATACTAGTTCTGCTGTTGGAGAATCGCGCTGTTAAGCCATATCGGTCCAACACCGACTTGTTGTGTTGTCTGTTAGTAGTGGTGCTCCTGCAAATTTCTGATGGACTGGCCGAGTTGTTCAGGCAATATAGTTTGTAGAACCGACGTGTTCTCGGCTAAGAGAGAGAGAGAGAGAGTAAGAGTAAAAGAGAGAGAATGAAGTACAACAATGGATGTTTGGCAGCTATGGAGAGGTCTTGGAATGGTGAATTAATCTATTAAAAATTAATGGGACTTAAAGGAGCAAATAATTTTATTTAGGATTTAATGGATTATAAGTTCACAAAATGAGACTTGTAAGTAAATGTCCCAAAAATCAATCAATGTGTTTGATTTTAATTTTATAAATTTAATTTTTTGAAAATTAAATTTTTTTATTTTTCATTTTTTTTTATTTTTAGTGAATATTTTTGAAATTTTAAGTATTTTTTTGTTTTTTTACTTTTTTAGATGCACCTTATTTAGATGTATCTAAAAAGTAAATTATTTGTAAAAAAAATATTTTAAAAAATCAATAAATACACAAGAATATGAAAAATATACTGAATTCTCATTTATTTATTTTTTGTATTTCTGGTATTTAGTGAATTTTCGAAAGATTTTTTTACAAATATTATACTTTTTAAGTGTATTTATATTAAGTGTATCTAAAAATTAAAAAAAAAATTGCTTAGAATATTAAAAAAATTCAATGAAAAAAAAAATTACGAAAAGCAAAAAATTTCAATTTTCTTAAAAGTGAATCCTGAAAATCCAAATCAAACAAGCTAAATCTATTGTAATTTGAATACTATCTGTTATTTATTATAAAAAAATAAAAATAAATCGAATGACTATTCTTAAAATTGTTGTTGTCTATTTTTTAAAAAAACAAATGTAATTTAAATGTAAAAAAAATAAATGTAATTTAAGCATATAGCTACAATATCCGATTATCTTAATTTTTTACATGAATATTCTACACAATAAATTTTAAAAAATGAACAGTTTAGATCAGAGAGGTTGGCCCCAAAATGAGTCCACCAAACCCAAAAACGCAATTTTTAAAAAGAGTTTATCAAGGTATAAAAGAATATATATAAAAAAAAATTGCATTACACCAATAGTTCTTTTATTGTGGTCCTTATATCATTTTAGCCTTTATAATTTTAATTGATTCAATTTTGATAACTTTGTTTCAATTTGATCCAATTGATTATAATTGTTAACATTTTTATAAAAATGCACATATAAGCAGCATGTATCATACTTGTAGGGCAACATTATAAACTTGATCAACTTAGGCTTATTTTGAGAAATTGGTTAAAAACTTCAACTTTTTTTTTTATTATTTTTCAAAAAAGGTGTAAAAAAATAGAGAAATAATGTGAATCAAAATAGATTAAAAGTCAAAATGACTTTTAAGCCATGTTAACAAAACAACTCTCAGTGAGTTAATCTCAATTAACTAGTAATTATTTTGTGTTAAAAACCCCGACGATGTTATCAATTAGACCAAATTAATAAACACAAAATTTAAAATTAATAGTCAAAATTAAGTGAATTAAAAATATGAGAATCAAAATAACACAAGATGTAAAATGTATAGATTACTAGCATAATTTACCCAAAAAAGAAAATTCAAAGAATAAATCACTTAGCCTTAACGATATCAAAAATTTCTCATCACTACTTTAGATTCTACTCTCCGCCATCAGTAACTTAACCAATTTGCAACTATAACGCACCAACCAAAATGTGTTTATGGTTAATCACTCTAATAGAGAATCAAGTAAATTCGCATTACACAAATCGAAATAAAAATTTTGAGAGGACAGTTATCAATTCCAATGGAAATGAATTTGTTTCATGTTGTTGTCCCCAACATTATAGAGGCAGAACTTCAAATTGATCATGGTGGTTTTTTTTTTTCCCATGAAAGTAGACATGCCTTCCTCGGTACAATTCTGTGCTAATTATTAATTAAATGATATAGATGCTCGCATTTTATCCCTAATCAAAGTCCGGGCAAGCGGGCAATCCCCGGCAAAACCTGCCCGAATTTTGTTTTCCCTTTCTTGAGAAAACAAAACTACAATAGATAACCATGTTTTTTCGAGAAGAATAGATAACCATGTTATATATGGGATCCTCTTGAGAGAGAGAGATCGGGGGCTCCAAACGGCAAACATAGGTTTTTCCTGATTTGTAGAGACTTTAAGGTTGAACAAATAGGATCCTAGGTAGTATAAAATAAGAATCAATTGGACAATTATTTATTAACCTCAAATGGAATCATTGTCTTCTGTGTGATTCTTTTTTAATAAACTTCTGTGTGATTCTTTTTTAATAATCTTTTAGTGGTTTAGAATGCACTGTGCACAGGCAGAGTTCTTCTTTGACACCAACTTAAGGTTATATTTGATTGGAGGATTTGATGACGGGAAGGGAAAGGAAAAGGGAAAGAAAAGGAAAAAGAATTGATATGATTCGAATTTCAAGCTACATTTGGTTGAGTGGAGAAAGAAAAGACTTAAAAACAGCGGTGGTGTTGGACTTTGATTGAGACCCCAGTAAAGTCCTACCCCCACCACCCCCACATGGGGGTTGGTCATTGGATCAAAATAAAAAAAATAAAAAAATTTACCAATCAGAGCCCACTGGGGGCCTGGGGGTCCAGACCATTTTCCCGGTGGTGTTATATGCACCAATTAATATACCAATTAGTGTACCAACATATATTATGATATTATTATTAACTCCACCCATTAACAAATTACAAATACCCAAAATTTCTAAAATTATGCCACATCAGCTGCTACTACACTAATTGATATACCAATGGATGCATATAGCATTATTCAAAAGCCAAAAAGTAGAATTGAATTTTCCTCTTATTTTCTTTTTTCCTTTATTTTCCATTATAAACAAATAAAAAGTGGGTTTGTAATTATTTTTCCCTTTCCATTTCTCTCATCAAATTCTCCAATCAAATACAGCCTAAACGGCCAAAAAAGTTGGGTGTGTTTGGTTACCCAGGTAAAAAACTGTCTTTTGGAGGGACTTTTCTCGGCCAAGAGTGAACAAATGTTCATCGATACTCCAAAAGCATTCATTGAGTATGAACACTTGCTAGTCATTAGATCATGTGCATAATCTGAAGACAGAGTCAAACAGTTGAGAATGCAAGGGGGATAATTGGTTCAAAACCTTTACTAAACCTCAAATCCTTTCCTTTCAAATCAAAACACAAACCTCCTAGCTAACCCTCCTATATTTTTGCTATCTTAACCTTAAATCCCTTCCATTCAAATCCATAAAATCCATCCAAATGCAACCTAAGATGAATTTCACTACCAAGTTTAGAAAAGACGTCACATGATAAGGAAATATGAAGATAATAAAGATGACGAGAACAGAAAAATATAAGCACAGCATTTCAGCAAAACTCTTGTAAGTGAAGAAATGAAGAGAACACAATACTGTTGCACCTAATTATGTTCTAAGGCTTAAGCATGAGCATATGGAATTCATAGTGCAAACTTGATTAATTATACAATCCTTTTCTGGTTCATTCAATTTAATCGGTGTAAAGTCTACATATGTACATATCAAGCGATCGAGCAGCAATATATGTTTGTTAAGTGCTTGAAACCCCCAAAAGCTGAAGCCGTCTATTGACACAGAAATTTTAAAAAGTCGAAACATATGTACATACGTATCTACCACACTGGAACACTGTAACGACAACCAAACCACTTACAAGGAATAAACTAGCCAAATGAACTATCTAGTTCCATTCGCATGTCACAAGGATCACATGCACTATGCGTATAGAGATTAAAAAATAAACAATATCTGCAAAAGAGTTACTAAAGGGACATCTCAAGAGGGACCGAGGGAGCAACATACATGTCATAGGATATCAAAGGAGCAGTAATTTCTTCATCAATAGCATCTCTGCTCATTATTTTCCTTTCCCTGTGGGCCCTTCACGCTGGTTTCGGAAGTGGCTGAGAAGCTGTTGTGCCTGCCCAAAAAATACACCATTATCATCTTTCTCCAGCACTTTGGACATAATTACATTGGGTTCCCTTAGAGTTTTAATTCACATAATACTAGCACCTTATCAATTATTCGGCAATCATATGAATGATAAAATGATGTTGCTGTCTCTTTTAGATAAATGTATATTTCTTCCTTGTTTATCATTGTGTTTTAACATAATATGCATTAGTTTCGGTCCCTTTAGCCTAACTAAAAGGGAGGTCAATGTAATTATGCTAAAACTATAAGGCTACTTGTATTTTTTCCAAACCATAGGGAAGATCAGAGTAATTTACCTTTTTCTTTTAGTTCGTGAAATATGTTTTCTCCATTTTTCTATTTTACAGGGCATTCATTAATTTCAATGTTGATTACGAGAAAAAATAAATAAAATAAAAACAAATTGAAGAAGAAGAAGATGCACCAAAACAAAGATGGAACTCCTGTCTAGGTTAAGAAATATAGCTGTAAACCAACAAGATTAAGCTATTTTATCCTAAAATAAATTGAAAAGATAAGGCTGTGCATACCTTCTCCTTCGCTCTTGGTGTGCCAGACTGAGACAATGCGACAAGAGGTGGAACAGCTCCTTCTTGCAGAACCAAGCGACAAAACTTAGGACTATTAATGCACAGTTGGAACAGTATCGAGGCAGCATTTTCCTTTCCCCGCTGAGATCCTGTCTCAATAACTTCAACGAGGAATGGTATACCCCCCGCTCGCACAATCGCCGTACATCCCTCTGCAATTGTAGACAGATTAGCAAGAAGAGCAACGGCCTTGTCAACCATTTCGGTTGCCGGGTCCATCAGTTCAACAAGATACTTCACAGCTCCAGCTTGAACTATACGAGCCTTATTCTCATGAAAGATTGATAGGTTAAACAAGGAAGTAGCAGCATCTTTCTTCCCTCTGAGTGAACCCGTGTGAAGAAGATCAACCAAGGCCTTAACTGCACCAGAACGGCCAATCTTCATCTTGTATTCTTCCAAAACAGAGAGGCTGAACAAAGCTGCCGCAGCGTTCTCCTTGGCCCCTGCATTTCCCGTTCTCAGAACATGGATTAGCGGTTCTATTGCTCCAGCTTCTGCAATTTTGGCTTTAATGTTTTCATTAATTGATAGATTGAATCCAGGAGCGGTAACCGAATGCTCTTGAGTTAGTTTCACTTCCGAGTACAATAGCGAGAGCAATGGTGCAATAGCCCCAGAATGGCCTACAATGACACGATTCTCCGTGTTATGTTTTGCAAGAAACCGCAATTCTGCTGCAGCAGAAGTTTGCGCTGCATGTGATTGGCTCTTTAGACCTTCAACCAGTTTCTCAACATGAGTAGTTGTGGCCAAATCATCACAGACTGACTCAGAAGATGAAAGGGAAAGTGTTCTGGGGTAGTTATTACCGTTTCTATTGCTGGCCATTTCAGCCATTGTCTTGGACCTATGATACGGTTTTTCCGATAAAATGGGAGAGAATTCTGAATTTTTAGCTAAAGGAAAAGAAGTGGGGCACTCAAATATAATTTCTCCCGACAACTCACTTGCATTTTCATGCTTACCAGATGTCCTTGATACATCAGTTGATCCTGCAGGAGGATACTCGATGCTAGAAACAGCACTAGAGGCTGATTCACTCCTGCTGTGGACATATGATTGCTCAGGGGATGAATGGTCAAAGTTTTCAGTCTCCCTGCTCCGGCATCCATTCGATTCTTCCTCACTAAATCTAAAAGAGGCATCATTCTTCAGCTTCTGAAACCCATTTCCAACCTCAAGGGAGGATCTTGATATGGAATCGTTACTGTGTGAAGAACAACGGAAACTGTCCATACGAATGAGATCTTGACAAGATGTATCTTCAGATTGGGATACTAATGGCATATTTGTATTAGTGCACTCAGGAGTGTTGGAGAACTTTATATGGTATTCCTCGCACCAATTTGCTATCAGAGCTTTGACAGTATAATTGGGAATAAGATTTGCGTGTGAGAACTTTTGACGGGTTTCTGGGCATATAGACAACCCATTATCCAGCCATTTGTGGATCGAAGTCCGATCGTAGGTTTGGCCAGAAGCCACAATCACTGGATCCGACATAAGTTCTAATGACAAAGGGCAGCGGAAGTATGAAGGGATAGGGACACCATTCATGGCTTTAAAGCTCTCAAGTTTAACCATGCAATCACGAATGTGAGACATAAGGCCAATGATGTTGATTTGATCTATTTCCCCTTTCACTCCATTAACTTGGGCCATCATTCTCTCCTTTTCCAAGGCAATGCTCTCTCTCAGAAAATCCTGGTTTGATGTCAGACTTAGAGACTCAACAATTCTTATTAAATGTTCGGAGGGAGGAACCATTCCTTTTCTCTGACTTTTAAGAGCCTCTTCTATGCATTCTGATATTCTTTCGAATTTTAAACATTGAAGTTCCTGCATGCAGTGCTGAAGCAAATAACCAGAATTTAGCTGTGCACTTGGTACGGTCAACCAACTGAGAAATTGATGGCTATATAACAAGTACTCAAAACTAAGAGATTTAAAAGAGTACAGAAAATCAAAAGTATAAGAACAAATGAAAGAATTAAGTAATAATAACAAAGGAACTGGCAAAAGCATTTTAGTACCAGCAAACTTATCCCAAAAGAAGAAGAAAAAATGCAATTTGGTAACAGACAAACAAAAGATGCAAGAAACGTACTCCAATTTCATACACACCTGAACACCAGTAAAAGTTGAAGTAGAGGGAAATGATTGTAACAATCTACATAAAATGTGGCAAATCTCAAGTGAAGAGCTTTGTATTTTCATCACCAAAGGCTCACTCTGCAGAACCTGAAACAATAAAGGGGCAAATGAAAGGAAATACATTGAATAAGTTTGTAAAAACTTAAAGCATAGTTCGGAGAACCAATGGTCACCTTTTCTTTTCTAGCTATTAATATTTAACTGACTTCCAAAGAAAAAGAAATGAAAAATAGGGATCTTAGAATAGTTGAAGGCCACAAAAATTGACCATTGTGCAATTCCAATTTTTCTTTTTCATTCAAAATTTCCAGTATTCATACAAAGCCAAAGAGAATTAAATGTTTTGTATATAGGTTGCTGTTAAATGTGTCTTCAGGAACAAACTGAACATAACAAATTTATTGGAAGAAAAAACCAGTATACAAATATGCCCAATGAAAAAATGTAAGCACTTTCTTTCCTTTATTTATTTATTTTTCTCTTTTCTTTAATTCTTTTTATTTTTTTCATTTTCTTCCTTTCAGCATTACTGTCTTGGATGAAATGAATCCAGAAGGTACTTACACTGTAAATTTTGCTCATCTTCAAAGACCAACTCTCCATGAACTCCCTAGCCTCATTAACAGCTATATCCAGTTCTTCACACTCTTTACATAGGACTTCATCTGAAGGTATTGTATAATCAACAACATCATCGAGCACCGGCTTCAAAAGCTTCAACAAGTTGGCTACATTTTTGTAACTCTTTTGAGTAGGCATAGCCTTTATTGTTTGGCAAGAAACTAGATGAATGAATCGAGAAATGCTGTTAACAACATATCTTACAGATTTTGTATCCATCTGACCTGTTTAAATACACAAAAAGACACAAAATTAAAACCATCAAAACATTATTAGAGAAAAAACATAACAAATAAACTTCAATTGTGACAGAATAACTGTTTATCATGTTAAAAGAGGCCTCAACAGTGCCTTGCTTGTCATGCTAACACTGCGGGTGCTTTAGCTGTTTCAAAAAACAACCATGTCCTCTGTACATCTCAAGCCAACCAAATTCTGAAAACATGAACATATTCTATAGTCTAAACACTGCTATCTGTCCTATCATTTCTTCCTGGAAAGGAAAAGAATAACTAACTGATATTCCAAAAAAAAAATGGTAAAACTTCTTCAGCTATTGTATATCTGATAATGCAGACATACACAAGCTACTGCAGACTATATCGGTAAAATTGCTAGGAACTATAAATATTGTAGGAAGTTATAATTTTGACAAAGCTAAGTTCCATCACATTTTAAACAGTTCTAATCTGGATAAACAAAAAGGTATACGAATATTACAAAATCACTTATATGTTCCCTTTATGAATGTGTTGCTAGTCAAAGATTGCCAAAAAAAAATTATTTTGAGTATGCTCTACGGTTCTATAACTGGAGAAGGCCGACCGGAAACAAAATGTTAGTTGCTTGGAGAACACACCTTGAACAAAGAACCAATCAAAGGATGCCAAAAGGTTGTGGAGAACAAAGTATAGCCTATTAGATGTGTGAAAACGAGTAAAAGCAGACTAAGCACTTAAGAAAAAGAGCTAGTAAAATTTGTTCATTGCTGAGAGAAGGATCTCACTTCCCAACCAACATTATTAACACTTTTTGGGGAATGAAACATTTCTGAGAAGGATCTCACATATATGTTCCCTTTACGAGCAAAAAACAAAACAAGGCCTATAGCTACTACTTACAAATTCTATAAAATCAATAATATGATCTAAGTTAGGCATAGCTCTCCCTCAAACAACCATACAAAATAACCAAAAAATAACTTTTAAACCTATGTAAAGGCTCCTCAACTCCTTGAAAGGTCCTCCTATTTCGCTACTTCCAAGTAAGCCACATCAAGCATAAAGGGGCTAGCAGTCAGGCATCCCGTCTCTATTTCCAAACCCTACTACCTTCCCAACCATCCAAACACGACTCCTGCCACATTCTTATCAAACACCCAACTCACCCCAAATAAGGCCAGCACCAATTCACACAAATCTTTAGCCACCATGCAGTGGATAAGAAGATCATATGCCAACTGCCCATCACCCTTACACATGCAATACTAATTAACAAAAACATGCTGCCTCCTTATGAGGTTATCAATTATAACATTTCTCTCTTGTGTTGAATTCGGTATAAAGATAATGACCTTAGATGAAGCCCCAACAAACCAAATACCCTTCTGAAGAAAGCTATCGCCTATCCTATATAAAGCCTTGTAAAAGGACTTCACTTCAAATTTTCCTTTCTTTGAAGACGCCCACCTCATGGCACACATGGTCTTCATCTTCACAATACCTTGATTACAATAAAACAAGGTGAGAAGATTATTCAACTGATCCACTTCCCAGTCTAGCAAATTTCTCCTCAGACCAACAATCCCAAAAAGTCCAGTACCTGTCCCTCTCATGTAATTTACCATAGAAGCTACTATGTCAATTGCAAGAAGGAAAATAGCATGGAAAGCCCTCTCAAGTGTCTCATCTCCACACCATTTACGGCACCAAAACTTCATTCTCTCACCCCTTCCCACCCTAAAGTTAACATGCTTCAAAAACTCCTCCCAAACTAGCCAAACGTCCTTCCATAGCCCTCATCACCCTTGAGAGATGTTCACATCTAATGAAATTTAATCATATTAGAATCCAATAATATAACTTGACACATGTAAGTTACATTATTGGATCAATATATTCTAGTATGATTTATTTAGATCAGTTTTAGAAGACAAAGTCAAGTTTGTAAAAGGTATAGTTTTCAATTTTGGAGTCCAAGTCTGAGTTGCAATTTTTCATTCAAACTAACAACTATAGCACACAAAAACAACTCAAAACTAACCCAAGTTACTGTTCACAGAGCTCAAAACAGCACACAAACATCCCCTAAAACCTTGTCTTTTCATTCCTTACATCATAACCTTTTGTTGCCACATATAAGCCCCAGAAACTTCTGTATTTTTACCACCCTTTCAATACAAAAACGGTTAATTTCAACCCTATAGCTAGAGCTTCTTTGTTGCTGTGTCAAAGGAGTCTTACTTGTAACCCTCCTACATCATTCTTGAGTTACTGAGAGATGATGGGGGTTGGGGTGGCTTTTACACAAATATATAGTCGCTAGTTGTGATCTGAAGCCCACCAAGGACCCAAGAAAATGAAAAACAAAAATAAAAAACCATAAATCAAAACCGTCAAATCATTGCTTGAGCTCACACCAGCATTGCCAAGGCCTTTCATCTACAGGCAGCAAGTTCATAGCTTGCTTCCTAAGGTACTTCAAAATTAGGTAATCATCTGATTTTAAGGCTCCTTGCCCTCCCTGTGGCACATCAGCTGTATAAAATTTCCACGGTTGACTGGTGTTCAAAATAAGTAGAACAACAGAGAGTGGGAGCAGCCTATGAAACAAAAAGGAATCTCAATTTCTTCACTATTTTTACTACCAAAAACAAGAAGATGATCTTTCAATGGAGCTTGCATTTTTGGAGAGGTCATTTTTGTGACTCAAACTCATGCCACCAAAAAGCTAATGGCAAGGTAAGTCTTTATCATTGGGCCTAGCCGCCCTTTACAAGACAAGAGTATTTACTCTTTTTCTTTTCCTTAAAAATTCTATGCAAACAACAGTATTTAACAGATTCTAAAATTTTGGTAGCCAGACTTTGGTTATGTGCAAGATGGGAATGAATGACTTTGAAACTGAAACAACCCCACAGGAAACATGAAGATAAAAGCTTTAGTAAATTTTAACCAAACTTTCACAGCATTTTATAGTAGTGACATTTAACAGGGGAAAAATAGAAAAACACAGAGAATAAAAATTTATAAATAAAATAACTATTTCAATAAGATAGAAGAACTCATAGATACCAAATTTGCAGAGGAACCATGTATTCTAATCTACAATGGATTTTGGCATACTGAATCAACAACAATAAAGCCCACATAATAAGTACACACATGTTTCCAGTAATGGATGCACCATGACTCATGAACCAGAATTGGGTTGCCCATTAAAATCAGCAATCTTTGACTTAATATTGAGTGATTGATGTAATAAAGAAGTTAATTCAACGATCAAATTCTCCATATTAAATTCTTCTACGAGAAAGATAAGCTTCCATGGTCTACTGTTTGGTAAAAACCAATATACAAATTTTTTTTTTTAAAAAAACATATAGGAAAAGAAAAGATGAAGAAGAGAAGACAACAAATTTATAAGAATTTGAGTACCTGTTTCATAACCCAATTAGCTCAACTACAAGCCTGACAAAAAATTTGACACTGAATTTACCATTATTGAAACGATTTCTGCTTTTAATTGCTCAAAATAAGAAAGTCCAAACATGTTCCAAGATAATTGAACCCACTCCATTCAAATGGTTGCTCAAATTCATGCAAAACCCACAAAAGCTCTTCAAAGCAGAATTCGAAAAGAAACCCTCACTACTTCCATCTCCTTCCCATCAAAATGTTCCAAAAAACATATAAAATTTCATCAAAGAACTAACATTTTCATCAGTAAAACGACAAAGTTGAATAAAAAATACCTGGGTTGTTGTGGCATGGGCTGGAAGTTGAATTCATGAATAGATATTGATGAAACCCACAAACCCACAAAGCAAGAAAAGCCTTTTAACATGAAAAAATCATGGCAATGATTAATCTTTAAGAACCACTGATACCCTTTTTCCTCAACATTTTTCTTGTGAATTCTGCTTAAAAGTGGTCCATTGTAGAGGGGGAGAGAGGAGCAATTACTGGGTATAGAATTAGGGAAACAAAAAGAAAGAGGGTTGAAATTGTGGGACCTCAATATGCCTGTTTTTTGGTGATAATAATTAAATTATTAATTTAGTATTTAATGACCCAGAACAGAACATTGATTAATGGCAAATGAAAATTTTAATGAGGAGTCAAAATCATGATTAGGGAAGCGAAAGTCAGAACCTTGTTGTTAATTAACTGGTGAAGCGGAATGATATGGAGGAAGATTGCAGAGTTGTATGGCATTGGTTTCCAGATGTAACTTTACCTTAAATGACTAATGTATCCCTAGTACTTCTAACAAATGCTTGGTTTGTTTGGTTAGTGTCTCCAACCCTATACCAAAATTTTCATAAATTTAAATTTGTTGAAAATAAAATTCAATTCATTCTTCAAATGAGGGATCACCTAAATTCTTCATCAAATTTTAAAAGAGATTGGTTTTTTTTTTTTTTTTTTTTTGGGTTGAAATATGGATTTTTGAGATAGGTATTCTTGAAAATATTTGATGAAAATTTCGATTCTTGCTATTGAAGGGAGTTATATCAAATCATTGTTTTTATCTAAATAGTTAAACAAATTTGACCCCAAAAAAACAGTAAGCATCAGAGATGCTCTAACAAATTAAAAATTGATAAAAGTACTTATCAGTGTTTATTTTCAGTTTTTTAAAAATTAAATATTTTATTTTTCATATATATATATATATATATTTTTGTTTATATTGAATATTTTATTAATTTTTAAGTAATTTTTTTACTTTTTTTCATATGCACCGTAGACCATCTCTAATGATTTATCAAATCCATCATCAAATTTAAATTTAATGAAAAAAACGATTTTTTGCTTCTCCAACGGTTCATCAAATTTAGGATTTCACTTTTTCTTCATCAAATTGAGAATCAATGTGTCTTTCATCAAATCACTATTTATTGCCGTTGGATTTTCACCACCGGATATTCTCTCAGATGACCACTTCAAGGGAAAAATTTATGAAAAAAATTGCACCTCCCGGTCTACTACCTTAAGGTAAAAATTTGTGAAAAAATTACACTGACCGATCGACTGGCCAGTCATCCGCCCGGTCGACTAGTGGTCTGATGAAATCACAAATCCCTCTATTGGAACACTTGATATCAAAGGAAACTTTTACTCAAATTTAATGAAAATTTTGATGCATAGTTGGAGATGCCCTTGCTTAGATGTATCAAAATAGTAAAATATTTATGAAAAAATATTTGAAAAAATTAATAAATATAAAAAAAATAAAAAATATATATATTGAATTTTTGTATTTTTGTATTTTTTTGGTATTTTTGGTATTTAGCGAATTTTTTTAAGATTTGTTTCACAAATATTATAGGCCTTGTTTGGTAGGGTTTATTTCTAACTTATTTCAGCTTTTAGCTTAATTTAAGCTATTTTGATATGCTTGGTTCAGTTTAATAATATAGCTTATAGCTTTTTGTAAGTCAAAAATCAACTTATTCTTTGAGTGGGGGAGGAGGAACTTAATTTATAAGTCAAAAATCAACTTATGTTCACAGTTATAAGTTATAAGTTGTTAGTCTATAAGTTATAATCACTTTCTCACAGCTCTACCAAACGGAGTCATAGTACTTTTTAAGTGTATTTATATTAGATTTGTCTAAAAATTAAAAAAAAATGCTTAGAATATTAAAAAAATCAATGAAAACCAAAAAAAATACGAAAAACGAAAATAATAGAATTTTTTGAAAGGTGAATTTTGAAAACTGAAACCAAACAGAGTATATAGTAGTGTTTGGTTTAGTTTTAGAATCATTATTTTAAGAATGAAGTTGTATTTTAAGTTTATGAGTTGTTGAATAATGATAAGAAAAGAGAAAATTTGTTTGGTTATGAGTTTTGAAAAGAGTTTTGAATTGAGTTTTGAATTTTTGAAATAAGTTTTGAAATAAGAAAAATAGTTTGGTTATGAGTTTTGAAAAGAATTTATAAAATTTAATTCAAAAACTTATAACTCATAACCAAACACATAAACTCAAAACTCTATTGAAAATTTTATTCAAAGCACATAATCAAGCTCTTTTTAAAATTCAATTCAAAAAAATAATTATTGAAAAAAATAATTTTCTTATCTAAAAGATTCAAAAAATTTTGAAAATATTTTTTATTTAAAATATTAAAAAATATATATTATTTTTTATTTAAAAAATATTCAACTAGTGCTTTAATATTAAAAAAATATAAAAACAATTTTTTTTTTTTTAAATAACAGGTGCCAATTACACCTCAAAAAAAAAAAAACACTATTTCGGTCAACCGACCGGACATCAGGGCAAACGACCGGGTAGATCCAAAAATTCAAAAACTCTCTAGTTATTAAATATGTTTTCAAATGTGTATTGAAATGTGATTTGAAATTATATTTTGAAAATTATAATCATACAGAAGGTTGAAATATGAGGGTGAAATCATGATTCCAAAATGAACCAAACAGAGCCGCATGTTTTTCAATTATCAACTTATTTAGACTTTGGATTAATGATTTGAAGGATTTTGTAGAGGAAAAAGAAATAAATTAGGAAAAGTAGCAAAATTTTAGCCCATATTTCATTCAATTTTTCTCTCATTTTCCTTTTTTTTTCCGCAAATTTCCTTTTAAATCTTGAACTAAACACAACCTTAAGCGATTTATGTCTCATAAACAATAAGTAAAAGTTGTATCAAATAATATGATATTAATTTCCTTATAACTTGTGCCCGTTTAATATTACTTGTTACTTTATTTTATTTAAATAATAAATGTCACTAGAAAACATTGATCATTAAAAAATACAAATTATTTAAAACCCGAAAGAGAGAGTATTTTAATTTTTACTTTTATAACAATTTTTGCTATTCACAAATTGGCCCAAACCAGCTTATTATGTGTAAGAAAGAAATTTGTAAAGAATCTTCCTAAAAATATTAGTTAAAAAAATTTAAAAGATACTTTGTTAATAAAATCTAATTATAAATGGCGTTAAGTGCAATTTATAAATTCATGTCCACCTTTCCACACCCAAAACAAAGAAGGAAACAAAATAAATAAAAAATTCATGTCTATCCACCAGAAGGGATATATCCAGGGTATTTTTTTTGTCCACGATTGTTGATTTTTTCATATTCTTGATGTAAAATACTTCTTTATACCAACCTATAAGGGTTGGTTTGGAAAGTGATTTTTTTAGTGATTTTTAAATTTTTTAATTAAAATATGAGTTGAAAAAAATTAAAGTGTTTGGAAATATTTTTTTATTTTTATAAGAAAATATGTAAAAAAATAAAGAGAATGATTAAAGTGTTTGGAAATAGCTTTTGTTTTATGACTTTTTGATTTTTTATTAAAGTGATTAAAATTTTATTTTTGTTTTATGACTTCTTTTATTTTTTGATAGATTTATAGTTTTTTTTAGCTAAATTAATCTACTGCTAAGGGATCCCCTAATATCTCTAATTAAGTTTATTTTCATAAATCTTAAAAAATAAATAAAGCGAAAGAAGGCAACAAAAACAAAGAAGGGAGACCCAGGGCCAAAAAATTAAATCAGATGGAATACTTATTAATTATAACATTAAAAAATTTTACAAAAATATTTCGTATAAATTTTTATGATTGACTTCAACAAAGATATATATATATATATATATTATTTATAATTAGTGTATCATGGATAATATAAATAATAAAAAAAGGTCATGGATATAAGTTTTAAAATAAATTATACAATAATAAAATAATTTTTTATTCAAAATTTTAGTAAAAATTCAATATAATATTAATACCACGTCATCATTAATATATGATATCACCAACCAATAATAAAGAAACATATACAGGATGAATCCCACATGTCAAATGTAACTAATAATTTAATAAATTTCATATCTTCATTGAGATTAATTATAATTATATGTCAATAATGATAGACATCACCATTGTATTGAAATTTTCATAGATAGTAATATCACTATGAGTTATCGTAATATCTTTATTTTCAATAAAAAAAACAACCATTGTTAATCATAATTTTAAAAATGTCATTGATATTTCACTTTAAATAATATTTTATAATTTTTTTATTTGAAATATTTTCTTTATATTTGTAAAAAAAAAAATTATTCAAAAACCGAGGGGCACGTGACCCCCCTGGACCCACTGTGGCTCCGCCACTGGACACATCATCATCTTATATAGATGAATTTGGGTCAATTATAAATATATTTTTTGAGATTTGTTTAAAATATTAATATTTTTTTATAATTTTGAAAATTACATCATTTCCCTTAAAATTTCTAATCGTATAACAAATAACCATTTTTTATTAATCAACCATTAAATCAATTAATAATATTTAACAATATTTTCAATTAATAATTTTAGTAATTTCATTGTTGTAATAGAGGATAGTCAGATTTTTTTTATAATTAATTCTATTAAATGACAAGTTATAATAAATGTGTATTCATAATTTTTAAAATTATAAGAACTAATCTATATTTTAAGAAATAAATAAAATAAAATTTGTCAACCATGGTTAAAATCATAGTAACTAGAGCCAACAAGATTTTGTATTGAGCTTGGGATTTTTTTATTTTTTAATGGCTTTAAAGTAAATGTGACTAAAGTTAACATTGAAAGGCAAAGAGTGAACAAAAAGGTTAAAGTTGTAAAGAAAATGCTTTGACAGCAGCAAAAAATAAAGAAAAAAAGAAAAAAAAGAAAAGAAAAGTAAAAGTTATAACTATTTATATCATATGGATGTTGAGAGTGACTTTTTAAAAGCAAGTGTGAAATGAAAGTTTTGCTCAGCCAGCGAGTCAAAATCACTGATCCACTCTTGTAAATGCGTAAGAGCTTGATCAGTAGATTAATAAAAATGAGCCTTTACTTGAAGCATTTTTGTATTGGTACTATTGAGTTTGAGTAATATTATATTTATCAAATTTTGACTCGGTCAAATCATGTGAATTTATACATGTCGGTCATTCGATCGATCATCTAAAAATAAGAGTAACAGTCACGGTTGATAATGATGATAATTACAATTAACAAGAGTATACCAGTCATTCAAATGATCGTTTAATTTACAAAGTTCGAACGATTCTAACGAGCTCAAATTTGGTGTATGAATAATTTTTCTTTGA